CTGAACGATGGATTCCCAGGTTGCTCACACCTTTCCAAAAGCAGGAACGAGTCAATTGCTCAAAGGATCTTTTGGACATGTGCCAAAAAAACCAGGCAAACTTTTTTGACAGATTTATCACACAGGATGAAACATGGGTCCATCACTATGATCGTGAGACTAAAGTTCAGTCGATGCAATGGAAGCATGTGGAGTCACCACCCCCAAAGAAGGCACGTGTCCAACCCTCTGCAGGCAAGGTCATGCTCACGGTGTTTTGGGACCAGCACGGAGTAGTGAAGATGGATTTCTTGGCAAAGGATACCACAATTACAGGAGCTTATTATGCTTCACTGCTGCGGAAATTGCGGGACGCTATCAAGCTTAAGAGGCGTGGCATGCTGACCAAGGGTGTCCGTCTCCTGCAAGACAATGCTCCAGTACACAACTCTCATGTTGCCCAGACAGAAGCGCGGTCCTGTGGCTATGAAACCCTTCCACGTCCTCCTTACTCTCCTGACCTTGCACCATCTGACTTCCACCTCTTTCCAACCATGAAGTCATTTTTGAAGGGAAAACGTTTCACAGATGATGAAACACTGATTTCTGAAGTCAAGTCCTGGTTGAGACGCAAAATGAGGACTTTTACAAGCGAGGTCTCCATAGTTGCATAAAACGATGGGAGAAGTGTGTAACTCTTGGTGGTTCCTATGTGGAGAAAGACTAATACCTATGCCAATTTTTTTATTCCACTAGGTCCATAGGAAGTGGGTCAGGGGAAATCTTTAATGAACACCCGTCGTACAACACACCGTGTGATACCAGGCCAGAACAATCTCACCTGCCTTTTCTCCAGACATAAATATCAATTATTGTGGTTATTAGTTAGAGTTGATGAGTTGGTGCGTAATACAAAGTAATAAATCGTATTTCAGTTACAAACATCAGTGTATCAGTTACTTCAACATATAGACATATTGGTTACTTCAACATATAGGTATATTGGTTACTTCAACATATAGACATTTTGGTTACTTCAACATAAAGACATATTGGTTACTTCAACATATAGGTATATTGGTTACTTCAACATATAGACATTTTGGTTACTTCAACATAAAGACATATTGGTTACTTCAACATATAGACATATTGGTAATTTCAATATATAGACATATTGGTTACTTCAACATATAGGTATACTGGTTACTTCAATAGTATATCGGTATACTGGTTACTTCAACATATAGACATATTGGTTACTTCAACATATAGACACACTGATTACTTCAACATATAGACATATTGGTTACTTCAACATAAAGACATATTGGTTACTTCAATAGTATATCGGTATACTGGTTACTTCAACATATAGACATATTGGTTACTTCAACATATAGACATACTGATGACTTTAACATAAAGACATATTGGTTACTTCAACATATAGACATATTGGTTACTTCAACATATAGATATACTGGTTACTTCAATAGCATATCGGTATACTGGTTACTTCAATAGTATGTCGGTATACTGGTTACTTCCATAATATATCGGCAACTGGTTACTTCAATAGTATATCGGTATACTGGTTACTTCAACATATAGACATATTGGTTACTTCAACATGTAGGCTTACTGGTAAGTTCAATAGTATATTGGTATACTGGTTACTTCAATAGTATATCGGCATACTGGTTACTTCAATAGTATATCAGCATACTGGTTACTTAAATAGTATATCGTATACTGGTTACTTCAACATATAGGTATACTGGTTACTTCAATGGTATATTGGTATACTGGTTACTTCAATAGTATGCCGGTATACTTGTCACTTCAATGGTATATCAGTATACTGGTTACCCCAAGATATAGGTATCCTGGTTATGTCAACATATAGACATATTGGATACTTCAATAGTATATCGGTATACTGGTTCTTTTAATAGTATATCGGTATACTGTTTACTTCAATAGTATATCGGTATACTGGTTACTTTAATGGAATATCGGTATACTGGTTACTTCAATAGGATGTCGGTATACTGGTTATTTCAATAGTATTCCTTCAGTAGCTTCCTTAACTATCCTGCTGTTTATATATACTCGTTTCCTAAACTATCCTACTATTGATATATATTCGCTTCCTAAACTATCCTACTGTTCATATATACTCGCTTCCTAAACTATCCTACTGTTGGTATGTACTCGCTTCCTAAACTATCCTACTGTTGATATGTACTCGCTTCCTAAACTATCCTACTGTTGATATACACTAGCTTCCTAAACTATCCTACTGTTGCTATGCAATCGCTTCCTAAACTATCCTACTGATAGTATACACTCGCTTCCTAAACTATCCTACTGTTGATATACACTCGCTTCCTAAACTATCCTACTGATGGTATACACTCGCTTCCTAAACTATCCTACTGTTGATATACACTCGCTTCCTAAACTATCCTACTGTTGATATACACTCGCTTCCTAAACTATCCTACTGTGATACACATGCACTCGCTTCCTAAACTATCCTACTGTTGATATACACTCGCTTCCTAGACTATCCTACTGTTGATATGTACTCGCTTCCTAAACTATCCTACTGTTGGTATGCACTCGCTTTCTAAACTATCCTACTGTTGATATACACTAGCTTCCTAAACTATCCTACTGTAGGTATACACTCGCTTCCTAAACTTTCCTACTGTTGATATGCACTCGCTTCCTAAACTATCCTACTGTTGGTATGCACTCGCTTCCTAAACTATCCTACTGTTGATATACACTCGCTTCCTAAACTATCCTACTGTAGGTATACACTCGCTTCCTAAACTATCCTACTGTTGATATACACTCGCTTCCTAAACTATCCTACTGTTGATATACACTCGCTTCCTAAACTATCCTACTGTTAATATACACTCGCTTCCTAAACTATCCTACTGATGGTATACACTTGCTTCCTAAACTATCCTACTGTTGATATACACTTGCTTCCTAAACTATCCTACTGTTCATATACACTCGCTTCCTAAACTATCCTACTGATGGTATACACTTGCTTCCTAAACTATCCTTCTGATGGTATGCACTCGCTTCCTAAACTATCCTACTGTTCATATACACTCGCTTCCTAAACTATCCTACTGATGGTATACACTTGCTTCCTAAACTATCCTTCTGATGGTATGCACTCGCTTCCTAAACTATCCTACTGTTCATATACACTCGCTTCCTAAACTATCCTACTGATGGTATACACTTGCTTCCTAAACTATCCTTCTGATGGTATGCACTCGCTTCCTAAACTATCCTACTGTTAATATACACTGCTTCCTCAACTATCCTACTGTTGGTATACACTCGCTTCCTAAACTATCCTACTGATGGTATACACTCGCTTCCTAAACTATCCTACTGTTGATATACACTTGCTTCCTAAACTATCCTACTGTTGGTATACACTCGCTTCCTAAACTATCCTACTGATGGTATGCACTCGCCTCCTAAACTATCCTACTGTTGGTATACACTCGCTTCCTAAACTATCCTACTGTTGGTATACACTTGCTTCCTAAACTATCCTACTGACGGTATACACTCGCTTCCTAAACTATCCTACTGATGGTATACACTTGCTTCCTAAACTATCCTACTGTTGGTATACACTCGCTTCCTAAACTATCCTACTGATGGTATACACTCGCTTCCTAAACTATCCTACTGTTGGTATACACTCGAGGGTAGTTCAATAAGTTTTTCAACTTCAATTGAGGACCAAGTCGCAGAATATCTTTTGCCGTTTTATTTTTCGATATAATCTTCAGTTACCTCAATACACTTATTCCATATGACCTTCAAGCTTTTAATACCACTTTTATAGAAATCTGCAGATTGGCCCTCTAACCACGCCTCTGTGGCAGCCTTTATGTCCTCGTCTTCCTGGAAGCGTCCCCACGTAGGTCAGATTTTATTTGCCGGAACAGGAAATAGTCACTGGGGGCTAAATCTGGGTTCGAACAGTGAAATCACCCACCCTACAGCCCAGACTTAGGCCCCAGTGACTATTTCCCGAATATTGAAAAATAAAAGTGCAAATGATATTCTGCGACTTGGTCTTATATTGAAGTTACAAAACGTATTGAACGCCCCTCGTAAATATCTTACTGTTGATATATATTCGCTTCCTAAACTATCCTACTGTTGATATATATTCGCTTCTTAACCTAAACTATCGCACTGTTGAAATACACTCGCTTCTTAAACTATCCTTCTGTTGAAATAAAGTCGTTCCAAAACTATCCTTCTGTTGAAATACACTCGCTTCTTAAACTATCCTACTCTTGAAATATAGTCGTTCCTAAACTATCCTACTGTTGAAATATAGTCGTTCCTAAACTATCCTACTCTTGAAATATAGTCGTTCCTAAACTATCCTTCTGTTGAAATATAGTAGTTCCTAAACTATCCTACTGTTGAAATTTAGTCGTTCCAAAACTATCCTACTGTTGAAATATAGTCGTTCCTAAACTATCCTACTCTTGAAATATAGTCGTTCCTAAACTATCCTTCTGTTGAAATATAGTAGTTCCTAAACTATCCTACTGTTGAAATATAGTCGTTCCTAAACTATCCTTCTGTTGAAATAAAGTCGTTCATAAACTACCCTTCTGCTGAAATATAGTCGTCGAGTTGTTGAGAATCCGGCTTCTCCACGGCTTCTCGCTGCCTAACGTAATGTTGAAGAATTGGCTAAAAGTCTCTTAATCATTCTTCCGTTTATTTGAACGATGCCTCGGCAGTGAGACTGGCTGGCGTTGTGTTTTATTCAGGTGAAAGTTACAGGTTTTCTTGGTTTCAGTTCTACAACAGGTGTAGTTTATCGTTGCTGTTGAAATGAATTTCTCTTTGTGTTATAATATTACATAGCCACGAGTAAAATGCTTTGTTAACACGATACCTTACGTGCAGCGTGTTTATCAGAGCATTGGTGCACCTGTAACGCGTTGTCATAGGGAAACGCCAAACAGTATCCTGTGTCCATGGTGTTGATTACACGTGAAGGGTAAACTATCGCGTACTTATCAGTTTCCCCCAGACGATATTTTTAACCTTAATATTTGAATCAATTCATTTATACCTATCTGAGTGAAATCCGATCCAGTTGAAACGCTGCGGCACGCGTCCCAGAGAGCGACTTCCATATTTAGCACAGCTACACGGTGCACGTGACTGCCTGTAGTGGAGCTATCTTCAATTTTCTCGAGATGAGCGCTGGATACCGTTAGCATCTGTGAGGAAAGGAAAGGTAAGGCGGAGATAGTATATCTCCGATATTTTTTGGTTATTGAGACAACTGATGCCATCGTTTACTGATATTCATCACGTTAGATGTATGAACATTAGTAATTTCAGCGTCCCTTTGTTACCAGGCAGAGTGAGGTTTTCTTGTGGAATCGATGGTGAATTACTTGTCGATCAATAAACACGACGGTTGCCCGGCCCCTGTTAAGACTAGCTTTAGCTGTCAGATGCACAGATGTCGACGGAATACGTCAACGATATATGTAACACATATTCCATCAAAAGGTTTATTTGTGTTTGTTTGTTGGTGTGACCATATAAAAACTCTCATACGAATCTCAGACAGCCAGCAGAAGGTACACTCAATTCAGGTATGACAATTAAGGACTTGTATTGTTACATTCTTATTAGTCGTAGAGTTTGAGATGGTGATGTTATGATAAACTGAATCATACAGATATGACTCAGACGTATAAATGGTGTTCTGCGATGTAACCACGGCATTATGGTTTACAGAAAAACCGTCATGTATTGATGGCAAGCTGACGACCTGAGGTGGCGATGTGTATGTTATCTGTCCGAGCCTGGCTAGCCAGCTAACATGTTCGTGCCGAACCAAACCTCTTCCTCGCCATTATTGCTGGCCGAGTACAAGGAGGCACTTATGTATGTTGTACCGAAGAGCAGATTCAGAGATGATATAATTCTAAGAACGCCTTTATATTTGGCTCGTCGCCATGAGGTAAAACCATCGTCTTTGAATTAAGTTATGATCTCATTCATTCTACAAGTTTCAGCTGTAGTCAATAAGCCGGACATGATTAACTCACTTAGTATTTGGTGTCAGTCCTTAGGGCCCCTGTGTCTGGGGTAGTTGCACATGCAGTATTGCGTTATTAAAAGTGAAACTACTGGTGGCATCGTGGAATTGCTTACATCCACTACAGCTCAACTGTTTCAAATTGTGAATGAAAGATAAAGTGTTTTAGAATTGAACAAGCTAACATATTTGACATATTTCAACACACACACACACACACACACACATACACACATACATACACACATACATACATACATACATACATACATACATACATACATACATACATACATACATATAAACACACATGCACAAACAGAGACACACACACACAAACAAACACACACAAACACACAGAGACACAAACACACACAGAGACAAACACACACACACATACAAACACACACACAGACACACACTTAAACACACACACACACAAACACACACTCAAACATACACACACAAACAAGCACACACACAGACTCACAACAGACACACACAAACAAATACACTCAAACACACACACACAAACATGCAGAGACAACCACACACACTCACACACACACACACACACACAAAACAACACCAACACACACACACAGACATACACACACACAAACATGCAGAGACAACCACACACTCAGACACACACACTCAAACATACACACACAAACAAGCACACACACACAGACTCACAACAGACACACACAAACAAATACACTCAAACACACACACACAAACATGCAGAGACAACCACACACAGACACACACACACAAACACACACACACACACAAACACACACACTCAAACATACACACACAAACAAGCACACACACACACAGACTCACAACAGACACACACAAACACACAGAGACACAAACACACACACAGACAAACACACACACACACATACAAACACACACACAGACACACACAAACACACACACTCAAACATACACACACAAACAAGCATACACACAGACTCACAACAGACACACACAAACAAATACACTCAAACACACACACACAAACACACACACAAACATGCAGAGACAACCACACACAGACACACACACAGACACACACACACAAACAAACAAACACACACACAATCTCTCACTCACTCACACACACACACACACACACACACACACACACACACACACACACACACACACACACACACAAACAGGAGGAATGGATAGTCCAGTGGTGTAAGGCGCTGCAATTCACTGTGCAGAGTTGCATCCCTTGGGCACGCCTGAAACCTATGATTGTGGGTTTGAATCCCGGTTCACGCTGATTATGTTTCTTGGTTTATCAGCCCTATACCTACGCATAGATTTCACCCAAGTGGTATTGGTTGACATTCCTGAACGTGCATCTCAAGGAACAATGTTTATTGAGATTATCACATGTGCAATGGTTGTTTTATGTAACAGGGTAATGAAGACATTCCTTTATATAACCAGCTGTCGTAATTGGAAAGGTAGTGTTTGGCAAAACATTGTGGCTGTGTTTCCTGTAGTTCATGTTGTAAGCAGTTACAGAAACTGCCCATCTACCTAAATCTGGTAACATTTCTGGTAATTTTCTTGTGCAATAGTAAACTGTCAGCATCTTGACAGGAATTCACAACTCAACACAGATTTCAGTTACTTAGATTATCACAAAATATAGCATACTGTAACACAAGAAGGGACAGAAAAAGGTTTGTATGGGCCTATGTTGACTTTCCTTCAAAGTTATGTATTTTGGTATTGAATATTAATTTTCTTTTTAAGCAGTTTATATTGTCAGTGCATTACTATAAAGCATCATATCTCCGTCTCTCATATTGTACTCATTTGCAAACTAGTCAATACTGATTATGGAGACTATGCATGAGGACAATGTGTGACGCTGGTGTTCATGTTAGTACACTGTACCAATATGACTGGCAGCGCTGCTGCTACTGATACAGTATTGACCAACTAACCAGCCCCGATGACTGCTGCCCCTTGGCAACACACAACAGCAAACACGATGTAACTAACATCTCACATACATGATGCTAATTGCCATTGTCCAGAGTGTTGTATGATCATGTATCGTTGTAATAAGCCCTACTGGTTGCAGAGGCCAGCCTGTGCCATGTCTTAGGTAATACCCAGCAGGAAGTCTTATTTAATCCTTACTGGATGGTGGAATCTCATTTAATTTACTCTGAGAATGGGATAAATAATAAATGAATAATTTACCAAAATGTGATTGCGATGAATAACTAAGGTGCATCGTGTTGACGGTGCTGAATAATATCAATAATATCAATTATTCAGCATAACATCCAATTATGATACAAGCATTGAACTATGATGTGAGTCCATATCATCATGACATACTTAGACGTATTTAATGCCATATACTAAAAAGTATTATTGCAACTGCCATCTCTTACAGTTTCACAAGTTCAGTAATAGCTTATCATTCTGTTGTTTAAAATGGCTCTTTGTCTACAGATTCAGGAATGGCTTCTTGGTCCCCCAACCTTGGTCCCCATTAGTTGTTTGATTGAGAGCGTTTCTATGCCAGTGTGCCAAGAAGAGATATTGTGGTCAGGATAGACTGTTAATAATAATAATTTGGACTTCTTCAAAAGGTTTTCCATAATGGCAACACAATGTTGAAGAATCTCCCAAGAAACTATAAGTCACAGACATCTGAGATTTCATTTGATAGTTTTCAGAATACAATGTAATATAAATAACCTTGTAATAAACAAAGATATTAAAACAAAAATATGTAAAACTTGTGTAATTGGCTTCTTGGTGAAGCATACTTTCAACAGAACACGGTCTTTCAAATTTTCTTATACTTTTGAAAAATTGAGTCAAGTTGAGAGAGAATAATGTCTTCCCTTTATTTAAGAAAATGGTTGAAGGATGGCTAAATATATGACCTTGATCATCTTCAGTAAGTCAGTTTAGTTCTGGTAAGTAGAAGCACTAGGACTTAGCCTCCCTGTTGTTTAGGTATTGGTGACATGTAGGGCTGGGACAGGTAACTCGGGTACTCAGGTTGGGTGAGTCCTGAGTAGGACGACCCGTGTACCCACAGGACTACCCGGACTCGTGTTTAGTCATATATATTAAACATATATTGTTTAATAACAGAAACTCACTATAGCTCAGTGGTTACACTACATGTCGCTAATGTTCGCATTTCTTTCTGACGATACACACATTCCTTTTGACTTTCATATGTTTGAGTAAAGATAAAACTTCAGTCAACTCCCGTGTACGCATGATCTGATTGTTTGATAAATGTATCTAAATAGTTTTTACCAGGGCTGCGGTAAAACAATTCTCAATCAGACATTTTGTTTCCAACTCTAGAAACCTGCAGTGGGTACCCGGGTAGGGTCGGGTAATAGTGGGTTGGATACCCGGGTAGTAAATTTGGACACGTCCCAGCCCAAGTGACAAGCTATTGATGTTATGCTAAACAGGAACAGATGAAAGACAAATCCATTCCCAATAAACATTGCTTTGGATGAGCTTTATACGGATCCAAACTGCTGATCACTACCCTGACGTGTTGTACCTCCATACGTTCTCAGTCAGCCATCATGCTGGGAAGTGTCTCTGTTTGATTGTTTGTAAGATTACAGCTGGCTTAATTAACACCATTAATAATAACCTAGCAGAACCTCAGTACAATATACAGTGTACATGGCTACAATTAGTGGAGCTTGTTGCACACCTGAGGACTGATCAATACTCCCACTGCCAACTGTTTGGCCTGCTGGTGACAGGCTGCAGATAGCTGGGAGCTGCTGGGGACATGCCTGTGGCTATTGCTGCTGCTGTGCTAAGGTTTGTGAGACCTGACTGTGATCTCCATGTGTACTGGGAACTCTCTGGGATCTGGACACCGACTAAACAATATGCCACATGTATTCATGGATTTGTTAGAATTCTGTCCTTTTCTTCAGCCTATATGAGAAGATTTTGTTGCTTAGTCCAATCTATGAAGGTAATAACCTTCACCAGAATGACTAGCACCCATATATGGTAATAATTGACATACCACACAGTACAGTGTATTCCATGGTTGAACTAGTGTGAGCATATCATTGACATACCACACTGTACAGTGTATGCCATGGTTGAACTAGTCTGAGCATATCATTGACATACCA